GAAGCAATCTCTTCCGCTAATTTACTTAATGCCTAAGGCAGATCTAAATCCAATTTCCTCCCGTTGGTTTATCATAGGATACGCGTGTCATGAAAGAATTTTTTCGCATAACCGTGCCAGAAGGTAACGTTATATTCTTGTTGGCTACATGTCAGACAAATTTATCCATTTCGCAGTCATCGTTGATTGTACGTTTTGTCTTATTAAAAAGGGCAGACGGACGTAAAAATGCACAGAAATATAATAGATGAACCAGATAGACTAGGCATCTAACTTTGCGAGTTGGATGACTATCTAGGTTAGTCTTCGATCATCCTAGTCCGCCTGTTCTCGCTGTTTTGGAGTTTCCTTTTTTCCCTACACACCACCGAAGAGGTGAAAGTCAGAACAGTGAGGATGGACGGAACAAATCGATGATAAACGGCCAAATTACATGTCACACCGCAGAGATTGAGATTAAGTCTACCAATTTAGAAAATTTCGACCTGGCCGAAGGTTTTTGGCTTATCGCCAACTCAGTAATTGTTCGTTTTGTCTATCATAACGTTGTCGTGTTAAAAATCAATAAAAAATGACCCGTTGGCGGGAAAAATTGCATGGAAGTCTCACAGGCGAACCAGAAAGAGTAGGCATCACATTTTGCGAGTTGACGGCTATCTAGGTTAGTCTTCGATCATCCTAGTCCGCCTGTTCTCGCTGTTTTGGAGTTTCCTTTTTCCCTACACAGCACCGAAGATGTTGAAAGTCAGAACAGTAATAACGGGCAGAACAAATCGATGAGAAACGGCCAAATTACATGACACACCGCAGTCACTGAGATTAAGTCTACCAATTTAGAAAATTTCGACCTGTCTGATGGTTTTTTCGCTCATCGCCACCTCAGTTGTTCGTTTTGTCTGTCATAACATTGTCGTATATACCAATAAAAAATTACCCGTTGGCGGGAAAAATTGCAAGGAAGTCTGTCAGGCGAACCAGAAAGACTAGGCATCATACTTTGCGAGTTAATGACTATGTAGATTACTCTTCAATCATCCGCCTAATCTCGCTATTTTAGCTTTTCCCTTCTTTCGTACGCACAACAGAAGATGGTGAAAGCCAAAACAGTGAAGACGGGCGGAACAAAACGATGAGAAACGGCTAAGCATACATATTATTCCCCAGACATTAAGATGAAATCTAACAACTTAGAAAATGTTGGTCTGTCTAACTCGTTTTGCCACCTTCAGTGATTATTTTATCTATTAAAACATAAAAAAGATTTAAAAAAAAGACAGACGCCAGGAAATGTAAATATACACATTATGAGTTCATGAGTAAGTCGTTTAATCCTGGTCCGCTCGCTTAGTCTTGCTGGTTCTGCTTGTCATACAAATGTCCCAATTTTCAGTGGTTGTCAGTTTTGCTTGTCATAATCATTCAATAATAAGAAAGTAAAAAAACAGGAGAGTCAGTCGAGAAATTTGTAAACAGACAGACAAACAAGATATAACAGGCGAACTCACTTTTCCTGAGGTCAGCTAGGTTAACCGGTCATAACCCCACAGTCATCCCGGTTCGCTCATTCTCGCTGGTTTGGATGCATTTTAACTATAATACATTTGTTTGGTTGGTTACCCAGAATTTCTTGAATATTATCGGTATTCACGATGCTTGTAAGATGTTAACTCGTGTTAACTCGAATAAAGAAATGCCCAGTAAGATCTTGAACGCCCCCTTCTTTTCTTAGCATGTTAAACGTTAATTTTTCCGCAAATGCTGCGCGGGGCGATTGGAAGAACCAAAAATAATAAATAATAGTCCTTGTTGTTTTTTGTTTTGTTTTTCTTTTGTCTTAAATTGTAAGAAGCCAGAAGCTAATAAAAAAGGAAAATTAATTATCTCCTTCATTCAAAATGCTATCTATGCATTGGAAAAGTACTAACAAATGACACGCTTCAATTCCTGCCGACATACCTAACTTGTATCCTAATATCTAACAGCCTACAAATTCATAGGATAGGGGATGTATCTATTATAAATGAGAGTATAAGGACAGGTCAGAAATTAACTGATTCAAATTAATTAATTAAGAAATGTATTAGTTTGATTTAATTAATGCGTATTTAAGAATAAAAATACGCGAAAACAAAAAACAGCTGTTAAATTCATGGCTACCATGTTGGTTACCTACTCCCTAACGGCTAGCAATGTGACTACATTTTCGACCTAACATCTAACATTAACCCTGGCCTGTTAGATCGAGCAATGTTAACTAGCCGATTCTTACAAGTCTACGTCATCATTTTTCTCGATCTAACAGGATTTAACAGACTTAATAGGGTTAACACAAAGATCGTGAATACCCCTATTGTGTTCAAGATAGAATATTCAAATCGTATATAATAAAAAAAGGCTTCAGTTGTCCGTAATATTTCAAATCGGGATTATTTTAAAGTGTTTAAACACGATGATTTCACGAAGGATTTGTAAATAAATATAGATACTCTAATTTACATTAAAATTGTTGTAAAATTGGTCGCTTCCGGTCCGCCTGAACAAGCTTTCCCAATAATTTTCAATGGAAGTTTGTCTCAAATCCAAAGTAAATAATAATATTTGCGCTTGTATATTTACGCATATAAATAGGACAAATGATACAACTGAATGTATTAATTATTGTATTGATTTATTTAAACACACCGATACGACAATGGTTGATAGTTTATAAGCGTATAAATTTAAATAGCACCCTGTCTAAGGTGGAATTATGTAGGGTAGCCGTTACTGTCATTAGGGGATTGTTGAAACCCCTCGGGTTATAATGTGATCAGCACTTCGACGCCACGGGCTCAATCCGTTTAAGATTTCCTTTGGGGGAAACTTTATTGCGGGCGACGCCCACGTCCAGCCTTCGGAACTATTCCATTCGACGATGAAACGCGATGCTAACAGAATTTAGATTAAATTCTTGCTGTTATTATAAGGAAAAGAATTTCTTAGTCCATCTTTCCTTCGAGAAAATGTAAATACTGAAAATTCAGTTGTTACGATAATAATAACCTAATTGCTTTTGGTGTCGGAATAAATGAACCTATAGAACTGAAAGCAGCATGAAGTTCTATTGAGTATGAAGTAAGGTGACAAGCGAGAATAAACGGACCAAGTGGTAATCATCAGTGTAATCAGTGTCCATCAGTTCAATGCGATCATGTATGCATAATTACATTGTGAGATTTTGTTGGGTCTGTCCGTTTTTCCATACTGTTTGTCCTTTTTTATCGGGCGATGGGGAAACGCATCTGACAGACCATTATGAACGGTAAGGACTGAATTATAGGTTCATCAATCCAACAGACCAGACGGAGAAATATCTCATTTACTCCAGGATATTTTGATTACTTGATTATTAATTTCCATGATTTGTTTATTAGATAAAAAAGTGAGTGTAAAAAATGGCCGGTTATCAGATTTTCCAATGAATTTTACTTTTTACCTTAATAAATTTGTCTTTCTACCTTCGATTTTCGGTGTTCGGACCTCAAGTCATAGTTTGTACTTACTCGGATTGAAATTGGTCCAAACAGATTTTAACAATACACTAATTCGGAGCTTTGCTGGAGTTCAATTTGTAAACTTAAATTCATATTTTCGTTTTAAACTCCTTCACTCATCCATCCAGCCCGGGCAGGAGTCCCCCAACTTAGTACAGATACTGAGAATCATCGACAGACAAACCGGAAACGAAAAAGAAAAGGCGAAAGTGAGTGAGAGCGAGAGAGAGAGAGAGAGAGAGAGAGAGAGAGAGAGAGAGAGAGAGAGAGAGAGAGAGCAAGAGATAGAGATCGATTCTGACAACCTTTCGACAAGCAGCTAGGGAATGAAAAAAAAGGAAGATAGATACAGAGAGAGAGAGAGAGAGAGGTAGATAAATAGATAGATAGATAGATAGATAGAGAAAGAGAAGAGAGAGAAAGAGACTAAGAATCATCGACAGACAGGCCGGAAACAAAAAAAAGAGTGAATGAAAGAGACAGACAGAGAGATAGATACTGACAACCTTTCGACAAGCAACAGGGAGTGAAAAAAAAAAGAGAGAGTGAGAGAGAGATAGACTAAGAATCATCGACAGACAGAACGGAAACGAAGATGAAAGCGGGAGAGTGAGTGAGTTAGTAAAAGAAAGAGACAGAAGGATAGACAGAAACAGAGAGAGAGACACTGACAACATTTCGATAAGCAGGCAGGCAGTAAAAAAAAGGAGAGAGAGAGAGAGTGAGAGAGAGAGGGTGGGAGAGAGTTAGCAAGATTAATTGATTGATTGATTTTATTTAGCGTTTTATTTAGCTACGCAGAATTAGGTCTCTGGACCTTTGTTTCATCTAACATACCAATTAAATCCATTAAATCCAATCCAGTAAGAGAGAGAGAGAGAGAGAGAGAGAGAGAGAGAGAGAGAGAGAGTGAGTGAGAGGGATAGATGATTATTTTATATGTATACGTAATTTCTATTGAATTACGACGCTTGGGATGCGATTAGAAAAATTCCTAAACGTGTTTTTTATTTTTGTGTATTTTTATTACAAGACTTTTAACGTTAATAATCTGTTGTTTTTTCTTTATTGCGGCTTAACGACTCTCACTCGCTCTCTCGCTCCCTCTTTCTCTCCCAACCGAGGGGACGTAATTACTTGATTTCACCCCCCCCTCGTCTTCTTTACATCTTAACAAAAAATTTATAAGCCATAATGTCCCAACGGCACACCTGCTCTAAAGAAGGGATTAAGCTGATAAGCCACCCCAAAAAGACGGCCCCCCTCTCGCATAATATTAATCCCTTAATGTACTACAACACCATAACTAGAATATCATAGTCCGTCCGTCACAGCCCCGCCCAACGGACGATAATGTATTTCGCGTATAAAATTCACCCCGCTCTGGGGCATTGTATTCATAGCTTGCAGTTTACAACCTGCTAAACGCAAAGGGAAAAAATTACAACTATTTTTTTTTTTTTTCAGAAAAGAGGAGGCTCTCGCTGTGCGTCGGTTGTGGTTCTCAAATACACGATCAGTACATTCTGAGGGTTGCGCCGGACCTCGAATGGCACGCGGCGTGCCTCAAATGCGCCGAGTGCCACCAATTTCTCGATGAAACCTGTACCTGTTTCGTCAGAGAGGGAAAGACTTATTGTAAAAGAGATTACGTCAGGTAATATCCATTATAAAAATGTTTGTATTATTATTTAAAAAATTATTACAATTAATTGTGTTTTGTTCCGTCCTGTTCCAAAAGGTGAGACAGAAATGGTCAAGGTTGTCCCTCCATCTTTGCTGTCTTCCTCTTTTTCTTTGTCCAGCCAGAATAGTATTGTAATTCTTTTTGTCCATTAGTGCTCCTTCGTTCTCACCATGTGGTCTTGCCAGCGCCATTGTTGTATGAGCGATGATTTTTTTAGGATATCTGAGGTTCCATGATTGTTCTCGAATTCTCCGATCTCCCAGTATACTCATAGGCACGGCATATAATTTAGCCTTTGGAGAAATATTCAATTTACTTTTCACTTTTCTGCTATCATCAGATTTTCTCTTTCGATGAAGGTTCGAGAACTTAGTTGTTTATTTGTGGCCTTTTCTGTAGGTTCAGAAGGGGTTGGTACGAATTCGGCTTGAACACACACCCACAGCTTCTTTTAATTGTCTTAGGTCTGTGGCAAGGATAACATCCGCAAGTATAGGCCATGTGCTTATTTTTAGCCTTTTTTCCTCCTAAATAATTCTTTAATTGCCCGATTAAATGAATGGGAGATAACTTTTACACCTCTGCCTAGAAGGACGCCCGGGCACTATTATGTCTAGAGTTTACAGTTTTTCCCATAGTATGGTGTCTTCTAACACTCCTTCATTTTTAAGAATTATGAAAAGGAGGTTTTATAAAATAGAAGGTCAAAAATAAGTATACCCGTGCTTATAATAAATAAAATCCTCGTCTAAATCCTGCTTATTCTAATTTAATGTTATTTTCATCCTATTTACCAGAGATTAAGCAAAAAAATCACAATTGGTACAAAGGACACAATGGATCAATGTTTGTTGTCTATAATGTAATTTATTTAATTAAATTATTATCTGATAAAATATTCCTTAAGTAATTCTTTTTATCTTTTATATTTCTTTTTCCTTATTAATTTTCGGTCAAATTTATTAATTATTATTTTTATTTACTCAAAATTTAGCATATCTCGCTTGATTGCATTTTGACATTAAGGTTTGTCTGGCATGTTGGGATGCTGTGTAAACTCAAAGATATCCTCCCTACTTTCTTATCCTAAAGTCCTGTCTTGCCGACCGTCACTTCTCGGTGCATACTTTCCCATTCACCCATCCATTTTTTTCCGGGGAGGAGTCAGCAATGGTAGTGTTCTTGGTCCAACCATTACTTAATAAATACTGCTGACAGCCCTAATCATCCCAATATGTCCCTGTTCATATTTGCAAATCGTAATGATCCTGTCCTTGCCGTTCGTTACCTAGTCTCACCTTGAGTCTTGGATAAAGGTGTGGAGGATAAAAATAAATGCCAGTACATTAATTTGACATTACGGCGATCAATCCTTCCTCCTGTATACCTCAACCACCTCTACCAACTTATTTCCGCTACTTAGGCAAACGTTTCATGTCGAATCCCCGACCTAAACGACAGGTCCTCAATAGACATACAAACTCTCTCTCTCAACTCATAGATAAACGGTCCAAACTATCCCTTAACAATAAAAGACTAATTTACAACACACTACTCAAACCGACCTGGTCTGTACGGAAAAACAGTCGTCAGCCAAAGCATCCAAATATTATCGAAACCAATCCTTCCAGTTCAAAACCCTCTGTTGTACTGCTTGCTCAAATCCTCCTTTTTATGTGTTCATTCGTACCTTTCACCATGACCTCAACATCCCTTATGTTTCCCCATAGCCCCACTCACGTCATCCCTTAGTCTTTTATTGTCCAAAGTTGCTTCTGAGCCAACTTTAGCATTCGTTTACGGTTAGCAGGAAATCCCGTGAATTTAGGGCAGGCGCAGTGTTGTTCCTGCCCGTGTATTGGCAACACTGATTTATTTGGCGCCAATCTATACTCTCTAACACTATTTACCAAATTTCTCCTCTAAATTTTAACCGAATTTATAAAGTTCTAAGACAACATTGGGAAATAAAGGGCTAATAACCCAACTTTTCTAAGTCACACTTCCTGATAGTGCGGCTGAAAGGCCGATGGCCTCGTGATCTCATCTTAATTCATAGTAAGTGAAGTACGAGTGCTTAGGTTCACTTATATCAGTGTCACTACTGAGTGACTTCCCTTAAGACACTATAATTAATTATACTTCTCTATCACCATTGTATTTGCTTATTGTAGTTAATGCTACAGTCATAAGTTTCAAATAAAACGGACAAAAGTCTTGTAGATGTCGAGTTAATCAGAAATTTTGTCGTAAAAGGTTTTCCTGGCAATTTTAAAAATTCGGCCGAGTCTTCGGACAAATATGAAAAACAATATGATTTAAGTATCGCAAACGCGTCACATCCTGGGATATGCGCTGTGCTACAAACTGAATTATTTCTCCAGTCGCTTGGAAGGTCATGGAACGTTATCCGCATTAGGAAATGTCCATTATTCATGTGGTGAATCTCTGGTGGTTTTCCAGGCAGACTTCATTATTCATATTCTCTCTATCTCTCTCGCGCGCGTTTTTGGATAACAGACATCTACTATAACTAGTACTTTTTATATAATCTTATTTTCATAGCTTTCCCTCCCTCCGATTTATAAAATTGTAAAATACACTTTGATCAATTCTAATAGTATTTTTATAATAAATTTATATTTGCTTTGGGCTTTTTCTCACCAACCACTCTAGGATCTTTTACTTTAAAAGTTAGAACCATAATTCCGAAGAATTAAGTCTGTCGTAACTGCCGAAATCCACCAGTCTGACAAAGTCTTGGCCTGTATAAAGTTACTGACTTTAAGTTTTTTATACTTTGTCTTGTATTGTTTGTTAATTGTCGTCGCTTGCGGGGAAAAAAGGCAAAACTCAGTCCTCGCATCGTCTAGCAGATCAATATTACAAACAAACAAAAACAAACAAAATTGTGAACCGATTAGGACTTATTGGCTGTAAATAACCATCGATATTCATCACAGCTTCCTTTCCACAATTTATGGCATTAGTAATGAATATAATAATATTTTTTGGGATGAAAAAAAGCAAAATGCATAGACATAATCGCACCTATTAGAGGAGAGGTGGGTCTTATTGAGTTTTATGATAAACTGGAAAAAGTCAAATAGAAACTTGTAAAAATAAATAAATTTTAATTAAATTATTATTAATCCATTTATGTTTTAGTGGTCAATTGACCAAGTTATTTCTTTCAATTAATTATTCTTTTTGAAGGTCTTGGTTGACATAAAAAATTATTAGATTATTACTAATATATTGCTATTATTTATACAGCAGGAGTTACACGACCTGGAGACTCTTAAAGGTGTTCGGTTATTTATAAAAAAGAAACAACTTTGATGACCTTCCTTCCACTAAATGAAGCATTGAACGATGGTTTAAAATAAGTAGCACTGTCTGAGAATATAGGCTGGCTAATAAGGTAATGCCAAGAGAGGGTGATGCCTTATTTGATAGGTATGATTCTTTAAAAAAAAAAAGTTATACGTTGGATCTGTTAGGTACCGCTTCTTTTTATGCTTTTGCATTTATTTTAAGTTATAAGTTTAAATTAATCTCGATTGTAATAACGTTACACCGGAAACGGTAAAATTTTGTCCTTAGGGTTTAATTTTACATGAATTTGTCGAGATTTTGATATTTTTCAAAACGTTTTTTGTCTAAACCTCATTTTGGCAAATTTTCCAGTAAACAAGAGGCATGTTATCGCTAATCGAACGTTAATTGATAATCCCAAGTGTACGGACTCATTATAATTCATAGTTCAATTTTAACGCAATTAAAAGAAACTTTGGGAATTTTCTTCTCAAATTCGTACGTTTCACTTTCTTTCTACTGAAAAGAAGGTTATCGGTAAATTAGGTAGGTTTTTTCAATGGGAAAATGCCTAATAAACGCCATCTCGATCCTTTATGTATAAAGAATGGTTACAATGAAAAGTAGTTATCCTGGGCTGTTTGAGCTTTTCTGCTGATACCAGTTCGAGGGGTCTCTCCAAAAAAACCATAAATTAAATAATAGTCTTCTTTTCTTTTATTGCTTTTTGGTAGTTGGTAGTTTAGCACCTTCCGGGGTTCCTCTTCGCTAATTTCTCTAGGCATACAAAGAGCTAATACTTTGTAGTCACATAACACCTATTCCTGCCGTTTCAAAACAGAAGCAAGTTTCTGTTTTAGTTTTTCTTTTCCTTGATGCTGTTTGAACTTGTTCTCTGGACGCCCCCGTAATGTTAAAATCCAACTGTACGACCGAAAATTGTAGGTCTTATGTCTCGTAAAGGTCTTGTATTCAAAGCCGGGTGTTGACCATGGATTATCCTTGGAACAATTGAATATTAAGCACGTAGAAAGAGCAATTTTAAAGTGTTTGAATTTCGGTGTCGTGAACGTGAATCCCTGAGTACGATGGCTGTAAATACGTTAAATAACAGTATTATCTCATAGAGGTCCTGAGTACGAATCTCAGAGTTGTCTCGTCCTAGACTCCCAATTTGGTTGAGTGGGAAACCCAACTGACAGGAATTATGCTCGTAAGCCTCGAAAAGATCCGTAGTTCACATCGCAGTCTTGCCATGCAATAACCTTGGACACTTGAATATGAAAACATTTCTAAAAACATTGCAGTGTGTCTGAACATACCGTCCGAGAGAGTCGACTAACTTGGATGGAACTTGAGTAGTAAACCCAACTGTGTGACTGGAAACGTTAGGCACTCGTAAATGTTCTATGTTCAAATCCTTGTGGTACTACCGAAATATTCTTGAATCATTTGAATCTAATTAAATCATGTATAAAATTATCTTAAAGAGTGTGAACAAATTGTATTTGACACCGAAAAGTAGTTGGATCCGAAACCCTGCTTTGTACTGGAAAGATTTTACCTGATTTCATTGCCACTTAGGAATCTTGCAGACCAATTCCATGGATTACCTTGGATCATTTGACTATAAAATCATTGGTTAAAGGATT